ACAATGGAACTGATGCAACAAACACCAAGAAAAGAATAAACCTGCAAGCAAGAATCCGGTCCACTGTAGTCCATTCAGGTCGAATAGCAACATAATCTTCCTCGGCATTGTTGTTTGATGCCATTTGCTTATGAAAATTGTTTACTTTAGTCTTCAAGCGAGGATGAGTTTTAAAAGCTCTAATAAATTCTTTCTCAGGCACCCTGAAAATTAAGAATAAAGGGAACATAATAAATGATACGAGAAAAATCAGGGCTGCTACCAGAAGTGAAAGGACAACAGAAATCAAACAGAGATATTGCTGTAACAAAGCAGAATCAGTAAGAAAATAACAAAATAAGTTACCATGTGCAGTGTAGATAAGATAACCCCTTCCACTTTACGAGGTATTGTTTCACAAAAATTTGCTTTGAACCGAGCTTTGTCGCATCACTATCTTCAGCAAGAGTAGGGCGCATTTCACAGTCCAATAACTTATCGATATCACTTAGGGGGCTTACCTGTGAGATGTAAATAAATGTGAGAAAAAATTGGTTGACAATAAGCGCTACAAAGTCTTCATAAAAAACAACTCAAGGTTCCGAAAAAGGAATCGTACACATTCAGGGCACCTCCAGTTGCTAGGGACAGGCGATTTCAAGGGTGGAACTAGACATTTAGGATGGTAAGCATATGTACAGGTTTCACAAGAGAGAAGATTCTCACTTTCTCCACAAGCTTGACATGCATCTTCTTTCTGTCATAGGAAGTGAAAGGACGGCAGAAATCAAACAGAGATAAAATAAGTAGACTAGAAAATTGACAGAATAACACCATCACTTCCACTTAAGTTGGCGGTAAATGATATGGGAAAGCATGACAAGCCTTCCAAAAGAGGATTCTACCAAATTATGCTCCCACTTGATAGCTGCCAATCGACATTCACAACTATCCGGAATAACCCTTATATAAGTATCTTAAATAAACTTACATTTAGTGTAACAGCTCAAACCTACCGCTACCAAATTATTGTCCGCTTTGACCCGTTACATATCGCCGTCAACCTCATGGTTTTAAAATCCGTCTACTAGGGAGAGGTTTCCACATCCTTATAAGGAATGTTTCATTCCCCTCTCCAACCGATTTGAGATCTTATGTTTTTTCGTACGTCCTTGTGTTCTTTCATTTGTTCTTTTGGTTTCTTTAAAAAGAAAAACGAAGTCCTCGCTAGTTAGAGGAAGCTAGAGAGATTTATAAGAATGGGCTTAACATATTCAATATTTTGTCCTTCCGTACAGTTGATAAAAGGTTTGCATCCCTCGATGAAAATTTGTACAGCCAATAAAGAGAAAGTGACTTGGTAAGGGGTCATTATGCTTGTGAGCGAAATAGATAAGTGAGTCCCATTTACTACTGCCACTCTACATGAACAAATGGTTTCTAAGAACAGTCCCATTTTCATCAGGCTCACAGGCAGTTGATATAATATGAAGAGGGGTCTTTAAAATTTAGTTCAGATAAAAATAACAAGAAGGAAAAACTATTTATGTAAGAATCATATGAAATACGACAGAAAAAGACTGCTGAGCCTTGAATTACAGAAAATAAGAAAAGTACACAAACCTTGTCTTCCCGCTCTAGTTTTTCAAATTTATCCTGCGTTGAGCCAGGTTTTTTATGCTTATAATCAAAGTCGTCATCTGACTCATCGAGATTATACACTGGCCTCCGTTCTGATCTAACACGAAGCCTCTCAACCAGGCTACTCATATTCTGCACCAAGAAATCATTACGTTAGCGACTTAACATACAATAACAAATAGTAACAACACTTGAACACTTAGTAAAATTTAAAAAAAAAAAAAACAAAGGAACAAATTCTTCTGAAGTCATGGCAACTGTAGTAATAAGATAGCGCTGAGAACAGTCGGAATCGTAGTAATTGCAGAGGAAAACCTTTAGCTCAAAATATACAGCAAAGTTCTCAGTTCTAGGGTTCGCATTAGTATGCAACAAACGTGAATGAACCATGTGAAACGCCAGAGAAAGAATTAACCTTGAATAAAATCCTACGTCCACAGTGGCTCATATTCAAATACATTACCATAAAAAGATCAAAATAAACATGAAAGCATAGAAGAACTGTACCGTACACGCCAAAACAGTATTAAACTTCCAACACGCAACGCAATGAACAATTTCCCAGAAAACAAATGTAAATAAACAACGAAACAAAGATTTTCATATGAGCTACAAAGAAATAAAACTAAGCACATTCAATCCCAAAAAAAAAAAAAAAACGAAAAAATATGAACGCATGACCGAATGCCACTGCCATAAACGACGATGAAATCTCAACAAAAAGAAAATCAAACATTTCATCACCAGTCAGAAAACCTAACACAAGTTTTTCAAACCCAGAAGCAAAATCATCAATTCTACACGGCTCCATCAACAACATTCAAAATAGAGAAACAAAAAAATCATCCCTCGCATCATAAAACCAGCTGAAGAAAGAACTAAATGAGCTCCACTTCTGATATAAATGTGGCGGGAGAGAGAAAATACGAGAATTACCGAAGAACACCGGATCTTGAGGCCGATATTTTGTCGGAAATCAGCGGGAAATCACAACTCCAGTTAGGAGAGAGTAGAACAAGGTCTGAAGAGAGAGAGAGTGAACAAAAAGCAACGCTAATCTCAGAAAGTGAGTAGGATTATGCATGTGAGAAGCTTCCTGTATGAAGATTAACAGAAAAAAGCGGTAAATGAGTAGTGAAGAAGAAGAATTACACTCAGATCAGCGGGCGGGCTCATCTAATTCCATCGTCTCATTCTCGTCTTGAATCTCAAGAGAAGATGATGTTTAAATTCTTCTTCTACGACTCGTCTGTAAACAGAAATGGTTGCTTTTTGATACAGAGAATTTGGAGAAGAGGTCCGAACGGGGAGCCCTTCCCTTACCCAAAGCAAAAGCAAGTGCCGCTACTGACCTTGTCAATTGGGCTTTTGACTGATTTTGGGCCTTTTTTCCTTCTTAAATCTTGAACTTCAACAAGTTCATCAATGGCCGACATTGGTAAGATCATCGGAGATTTTGGAATATCTTCATCATTTTTGTTGAGATAAATGGACGTAATCTATATATAGTAGTTTAGATTAAATAATCGATCGTGTTGGATCGTGTTCGATCTCGGTTTAAGAACTGACTTAATTATTCGACTTACAGATCTGTCTCGATCAGTTATACCGTTTGTCGTCAATTGTGAATTAATGATTCTATTCACCATCGAAGTAAGTGACGTTTTTTATTGGTTTACCTGTCTGACTCGTACATTTGTCAGATTCACGTGTTTTGTATTAGCTTAACGAATGAAGATACGTGCTGAGCTACTGAGTTTTTTAATACTCTTATCTCGTTTGTATTAAATTATTAGGGTTACGAATTTGTGATTTATATATCTGTACGAGATACTTTAATTGTAACCCGTGATCGTTTTTATTTGAATAATTTATGGCTACATTAATTAAAAAAAAAAATTAATAATAATCTTAAACTTAAAAAAAAAAATCTAAAAAAATATTTTTAATAGTACTTAAAAAATATCTTTAAATTTTCAAAAGTTTCGTTAATATCCTCAATTTTTTTAAAAATTTCAAAAATACCCTTGCCATTAATACTGTGTTTAAAAAATACAAACGAAATTTTAAAAATGACTTTAACACCCTTAATTTGTATATAAAAAAGAATTAAAAATATTTTATCGTAAATATGTTGACGTCATAATTTTTTTTTTTTTTTATGTTACATTAATATTTTAAAAACGTGGAATAAACCCTAAATTTATTTTTAAAATTTTGACTGAAGTTTTTAAAGTGTTTTGAAGTTTTTAAAAACGTTCAAGGTATTAACGAAGCTTTAAAAAATCAAAGGCAAACTATTAACGATTTCATCCAAAACTAATCGTAATGTTAAGTCGAGCACAATCCAATCATTTGTACATTCTGAGAATTTGTTTGCATAATCCACCCCACCAAATTATCTTATTTATAATCAAATAAATTATAAGGATATGGAAATAGTAATAATAAACAAAAATAACAATAAATGTAATGATACCTATGGTAATAAGGCAAATATCTAGATATTTGTCTTATAATAAAATATTAAAAATATGATATATATGATAAATTATAATTTATTTCCAATAACTCGATGACTAAAATGATATTTTTACCAAATTATTTCGTACTGCCTAAAATTTATCAATGGAATAAAAGTTATTGAAAAAGATGCAAATTTGACTTGATTACATAATAGGAAAGTTTTCCCGAAACTATCATTCTTATTGCCATATATCATTTCATAACGACATGAAATTTATTAATATTAAATAATTATTTTTTTGATAAATAAAAAAATTAGAGGTTCAAATTAGGGATGCTCGTGGGTCGAGTCAAGTGAAGACGTTTTTTAGATCCAATTGTTCGGACGGTTACTATATAATGATATAATCAAACCCAACCATAAATTTTTTGGGTTTAGGGTTTAATAGTTTAAATGGTAAAACATTTAATTATTTATTTTTAAATTTTTAATTAATTTTTGTAACTCAATTTAGTATATATTTTGAATAGGTAAATTTTTTAAAAAAGATATTGGAGAAAAAATAATTATAAAATTAAATAAATATTATTATTTTTATAAATAATGTTAAATTACATAATAAAATCACAACTTTTAATTTAACTAACTTTTTTAGTTTTAAGAATTTAACCTAAAAATTAAACTGTGTTTTGGTCAAAGTCAACAAGTCCACGTCAGTGTCGACAGAGACTCCCAGCGACCGGAGAGAAGCCTCAATTCCATCCAGTAAAAACAACCCACGTCATCTAACTTCCACGTGTATATTTCTAATTGGCTGGAACAGAGGTTTCTTACGTGTCACCCAAACCACGTCGAAAACCCAATTTACTTCGATTTCCGTGACTTTATAAAGAAAAAGGGATTAATTAATTATTTAAATCTAATTTTCAGTTCCACCGATCGAACTCAAAATCGAAATTGCAGAATCCTTCCATTTTCGTTCTTCACGTCGTTGGTTTTGGCGAGTTCTTCCGATCAACCGTGGCTTCTTCAGGGTCCTCAGGTTTGTCTCGGAGAAAACCTTCGTCTTCCGCTTCTCCTCCGCCGTCAACGCCGACGAGGATCGTTTACAGAGAGAGAGTTTCGCCGTCGCATTCCGATTTGCCTTTCTGGCAGCGTAACTGGTTCATCGCCTTGCTTTTCGTTATGGCCATCGGTTTCTTCTCTCTTGCGCTGTTTCTCTTCCTCGGTCTTGATCTCGACCATGGCTCTCTGTCGTCTGCCTCTGCTGCGTCATCCTCCGAGGGCGTTGAGGTTTGAATCTGTTAGCCTTGTTAAGTGATTTGTTCGTATTTGCATCGATTCTTTTGCACTGGAATCCGATTAGAAGTTTATGATTAAGTTTTTTAGTAAATCGACAATGCTGATTCCATTTGAACTATAAATCAAGAAAGATGAAGAAAATCACTAAAAGGAGGTAGATAGATGATCCATTGAAAATCAGTTTCACTTTTCAACCTCGTATTTCATTTGCTTAGAAATTTGCGGGAAGCCGTCTTTTAAGGAGATTTGGATTTTCTCTTGGGATTTTTCTGCTTGGCGTAGGAGTGATCAAATGAAATGGACGTGGAAAGATTTTGATGAGTGAGGAAAACGGCAATATAGATTGGAATTGAACCTAGAAGTGTGAAGCACTCGGAATCTTCTCAAACGCAGAAAGAAAATTCGATGGAAATCGCTTGGTTTTTTCTATTCACTGAAAAGTTCACATGAATCCATCTCTTAAGCAGATATTGATTTTTTTTCTTTCCTGTAATTCTTTAATCCTAAGCTATTGAACAAAGCTTGAATTGGGTAAGTGAATCGTGCACTTGGAGTTGATATATTGATTGGTGTGTTTGTTGGACAGATTACTTATGGGGCAGTGCTAAAGCTAATGCACGAGAAAACTAAATTCCGTTTGCATTCCCACGACGTGCCTTATGGTTCTGGTAGTGGACAACAGTCGGTCACCGGTTTTCCAAATGTTGACGATTCCAATAGCTACTGGGTAAATCTCTTCCCTTTGCAATTTCACTCGTTCCACATTTCCATGTGGAACAAAAGCTGTCATCTGTTTCTCCCCCTCTAGTATTTTCGTGTTTCGGTTGCAACTGTAACGAGTTTATCATTGGCAGATTGTAAGACCTCAGCCTGGGACATCTGCAAAACAGGGGGACACCATTAAAAGTGGAACAATTATCAGATTGCAACACATGAAAACAAGGAAATGGCTGCACAGCCACCTGCATGCATCCCCAATATCGGGAAATCTAGAGGTTATTGAATTGTGCATTTCACATTTAACAATTTTTTTGAAGACTGGATAATCTCACATGCGTCGATTGCATTGCATCTCTCCATATTATCTGCTTACTGCTGTGATGTTTCTCTTGTATTGATTTTTTTTTGGTTGCTTTCGTTTTTACTTCATGATGATTGAATTAATAGTGAAAGCTTAATGCTGCCATTCTTCAAGTGCATTTTTGAGCTCGACACTGTTTCTATATCGTGGAGATAGAAAGTTAATCTGTTGGCGATGCATGTTGAACTTGGGATTATATTCCTGAGAATTCAGTTATTAGTTACTAACGAAAGCCACAGTGGATCATACATTTTGTAGAACTAATATGTGCTTTCCTCGTCTCCTCTTACCTGCCCAAACTTTTCAAGTATATGACTTTCCCTCATCTGTTTGGAGAATGTTCTGTTCGTTTGATGTACATTATTTCTGGCATTCACGAGCTCTAAGAATCGTTGGTTGAGTATTTCATTCTGCAATTGGAAATTTTTGCCCTGTGCTAGATTCTGTTCTTGAATTTCCCAAAGAAACCCAGTCGAGGTTGGTCGCCATTATATTTTGCATAACCAATGTGTTTCAAAATTTAACTTTATAGTATGACATTATTATCATTTCGTTTTTTATGACGCTTTCCTTTCTTCTTCATACAAGACATTCATGCAATGTCTTTTTTAGTTCTGAATCACTTTTTCTATTTCGAACGATATAGAAGTTTTCCCAGTCATTATGGTGACATGTTTTCTGTTTGACTTGTTTATGCAATTGGCTTATTCCATATGCATACCTCATTGTATATGGTTAGGGGATATGAGGATTTTGGATCCAATTTCTGGTCATGCTTTCCAACTTTCCATTAATATATGGTCATTAGACATGACAATTTTGATTTCAAATCCTAATTATGGCTTTTATGCTCCTTAACGTTCTAGACTCTGCTTGGTGCAGGTCAGCTGCTTTGGTGGAGATTCTGATTCCGACACTGGGGACTACTGGAGGTGAGACAATTATTTTCTTTAAAAAATGTATACTACGCATCTCGATACGAACGAATGGTTCCTCACCTGCAAAATTCAATAGGCTTATGATCGAAGGGAGTGGGAAGACATGGAAGCAAGAACAGAGAGTTCGGCTTCAGCACGTCGACACCAATGGCTACCTACACAGCCATGACAAGAAGTACAGCCGCATAGCCGGAGGGCAGCAGGAGGTGAGAACAACAAACAAATGATAGTGATTTGGAAGTGAGAACTCCTAACCATTTTATATGGCTTTACAGGTCTGTGGAGTCCGAGAAAAGCGAGCTGACAACGTCTGGTTGGCTGCCGAGGGCGTTTACCTCCCAATCACCGAGACAAAGTAGAAACTTTCTGGTGAGGTAACAATGTATTAACTTCCAAATTAGGCTACTTCTAGGTTCTTGAAATATTGAGAGACTGTTTGCCTGTTTTACATGAAGTTGAGCTGATTATTATTACTTAAAGAACTGTGGATGAAGTCTTCCATAGATTGCTGCTGTTCATTGATAGTATGTTACAATTACAACCTGTATTCTGGATAATATAGTTCAACTCTGGGGGGAAACTGATATTTAATGAAAAGAACCTTCCACTTTCAATCAGCTCCTCTTCCTCGTAGGGCAGTTTGGTCTTTTGCCTCCGCCAATTGTTTCCAATGAAGGTGTATGTCCTTTCTTATACATCAATAGAAGAAATATTAAAATATGGGTTTTTTTTTTTCCTTTTAAATCACCTTTTTAAACCTTGATTAAGAATTTAAATATCTTTATTTCTAATTAATTTAAATGTAATTACTAAAGAATACGACCCAAGAGAGTTTTTTTTTTTTTTTTTTTTTTTTTTTTTTTTTTTTTTTTTTTTTTTTTTTTTTTTTTTTTTTTTTTTTTT